TTCGAACTAAAAAAAGTTACATTGTATATTAAAAAAAATAAATATGCTCTTCTAGTTTGGGGATGCGGCAACTTTTACTAAGAATTTCTTTCTTTTTGAGAAGCCACTGAAAAAAGTTTCTAATATGGATTATGAATTTTGCCATTCATCGTACAAATAAAAATATCACAAAACAATATCAGAAGCATTAAAAAAAAGCTACACATTTTATATAGTTCAAATACGCTTCTGAAATGGAAATTTTCTAATGTTGAGACCTTCATGAATATGGTAACAATGACGAACTGATAATTAGAAAAAGTTAGTTATGATTATGAATCTTAAAATGGTAGGTACATGAAAAACAAATAACATTACTGAAAAATAATATAAAGTTATAATTTCTTCTACGCATGGTCAATATTACATATATCCTTTTAATAATAATAAATTATACAGCAGAAATAAGGATACAAAATGATATCTTGACAAAGTAAATATCTGTAGGTATACCTAAACTCTTTTATTTAAGCATGCCTATACACATAAACAAATATAAACATTTGTACAAAATATAAAATAAATGACGTCTATTTCACTTGATTCATCCATATTTCAAATAGTTCTCACTGACTAAGTAGTTGCTCTTCAAATTATATCGAAACGTATAGTTGTTGTTCCATTTTCTTAGTTCTTGTCCCTTGTCCTCTTGTCTGTAATAGGTAGTGGGTATAACTATATTTAGGTAGATGTGACGCAAAATTGGAAATCTCTACACATATCGTTTTAAACATTTTGCATCAATATTCATTATTTTATATGCACCTTACAATAACCACAACTGCACACACTACAAATTATCACATAAAATAGCGTCAAAGTAAAGATGAATAACAACGAAACCAAGCAAACTGACAAACCGCAAACCTAACCTAACATAATACGAATTGAAACGACACACGGGAAACAAATAAACTCGGGCTGTTACGCGCAGTCTACGCAAGTCACGAACATACATTTTTTCTAGACTTGTGTTATAAATATGCTACCACATTTTTTTTTCTAATTATGTCTTTATATAACAAAGGCAAATGAACTAACGCTTGAGAAGGATTGGGGATTGAGAGCAAAATTTAACTAATGCCGAATGTTCCATAAGATAAGCAAAAATAGCAAAGGGTTGTTCGTCTGTTATGTTTCCGAGATCGAAAGGGAATGTTTCGAGTAATGTTTCAAACTCTCTTCAATTGTAACGTTTCGGCTATGTTTCACTAAATAAGTTTTCAAGTGCTACATTTCTGTAATGAAACAGAAACGTTTCTACTTAATGTTTCAAATGTTTAGTAAAACATCTCATTTGCAACGTTTCATTTACGTTTCGTGTTTAGTGGGACTGATTTAGGTGTATGTTATTGTTTCTATATGTAACTCATTTAGTTTATTAAATTGACTTTTTAATGGACAGAAATAAATTTAGAATAAATACCAGAGAAGCCCACATCGTAAACTATTTTACAAATGTTATGTATGTTGCTCTTTATATCATATTATATATCATTTAGAAAAATTATTGTCGTTTTGTTCGTTACCCGTAACGAAATGAAAACATTACGAAACCTTTAAAGCTAAATTATTTCATTGCACTTGCACTGGAAGTCACATAAATTGGGACAAATCATTACCAACCTCAACAGTATCCCCACGTCACGTTTCTCATTTTGCCCGTATAGATTTTAACTGTGTTTATTATTTTTATCAACGTAAGTTAACGTAATCAAATCACTTTAATAGTATTGTTATTTTTAAAGTGTAGTTGTTTTGAAAACAATTAATCATTGACCTGCCTCAAACTTGTATTAATTAATATTTATTTTAGATTATCGTCTTATAAACAATAACAATATTAATAATCCCTTAAAATATACGGAATGCAATATGACGCCTGTTGTTAAAAGGGGATGTCTCCAAAATACTTTGCAAAATTTTCAAACGAGCTTCACAAAACACTTCCCAAAAATTTAAATCTATCACTGGCTTTCCCACATCTGTAATTCTGTATATGACCATTTCCATTCTTTAATGATGGTAATTATACAACCGCAAAGGCAGCTCAATTCAATATACATAACGGTCATTTTTCATATTACATACCCTTATTTTTTTTAGTATATGCAACCATGCAGAACAGCTATTATCCATACATAATTATTTATGATTATTATTTTCCATATCGGTCAAACCAATCAATAAACTTGAATTCTTACTAGGTACTACATAAACTGTTAGCATTATGTTAATGGCATAGATTTTTTAATATTTATTCACTGGTAAAATATGTTTCAATTTTTTTTTTTAATATTTCTTTTCAATAACTACATTACATACATATATAATAGTTTTATCTATCAAATATTATAATAAATATTTTTTCTACTTGAATTAAAACATTTTTTATTATTATTAGAATCTGCGTAGTGTATGCATAATACGCAATTTCCATATATCTAATAGCTTGTAAATTAAATGAGCTGTAATAATAATCAAAATATTTAAATTTTGCTACAAAACTGTATTACTACGTAATAATATTAACATACTTTAATGGTTTGTATGCAGTAGAAAAGAATCCTGATAAACTTCTCCAGCGATGTTCATGCAATCTGTAACAATTTATATATTTTTCAATTTCATTTAATTGCTAGTTCCTCATGACCACCACAGAGTGATGAAATATCTAATTTATACCAAAAACATATATATAATTTTGAATAATATTTAACAAAACTTCAATGTTTACAGGAACAACAATCGATAACGTTTTGTATGTAGTAATTAAATAAATAATAAATATTAGTAAATGTAAAGTTACGTCATAAAAGCATCTGTTTTTATAATAAATAGTTATAGGTACTATTAGAAATTTTGTGTCTATATACATTTCTTGCTATAATTAATACATAGTTTTATCAATAGATTATTATGTCAAGGTTATGCCTTTACTATTATTGACATATTCTTGAAACTTCACGCAAGCACGCAGTATAGTGTGCTACAATTACACACACACACATACATTTTATTTCATAAATTAAGTAATTAAAAAGCTGCAATACGGGGTGTGAATAATTTAATCACTAAAATGTAACCGTTATATAGAACGTAACTTATAGATTTTATTCTTTAATTCTATAAAATTTCCTATTGCATGTATTTATCTACCAAGGAGTGTTAAAGAACTTAACACAGGGAATTAAAAACATATGTACATACTGAAGTAACTTTTATTAAAGTATATAAAATTTCTATATTACTATATTAATATATCTAACAAAAAAATGAAAACAAACCATATAAGGAGTTTAACACAATTTTCATTTGTAAAATAAGTGATTTGAAGAGATAAAATAAATCTACATATGCCAGCAAATGTTATCAAACCAACACATCAATGCCTATAATGCATGTATGTATATATATAAAATATGTTGCACATTAGAAAGCTAATATATATATATATATTTATATCACTGATTTAAAATTCAATACATAAACCTAGAAACTGGACGTATCCAATAAATTTTTAAGTAATGAAATCCACGGGGGACGATCACCGAATGATGTTCTCTAATTTTGAACACTTTTTTATTTTCTATAACCTATTATAAAAATCCATAGTCCAATCACATTTTAATCTACGATTTTAATTTATAACTGGAAATTTTACACAAAGCACACATAAATCGATACAATCTATAAAAAAAATATATGTACAGCAGCATAAGACATTAATACAGCTGATAAACACTGAAATGTTTTCCTCAGTATTTGTGATCAATCCCCAATAACAACCTGATATATCGGGAAGGAATGTGATGGATAAGTTTTGATTTTTTTTTAATTAATTATAGCTATTATAAGACTATCACCAGTTGAAACTATAAAAGAAACTGACTATTAAGATTGATATTAACGTAAAACGTACTACTTCTTATCTATTTACATTACAGCCCTTACGAATAGCTTAGAAATAACTATAAGGGTAGTCAAAAAATGTAGAAATTATCTACAGGTAAGCGAAATATAAAGTCACTGTTTTCCTAAAATGTTTCCAGATATGAAGAAAAAAATTACTCCTACATTTGGTAGGTATTATATTTTAATTCTTAAGACTTACTAATAATACAAAACCATTAAATCGAAGTTAACTTTGTTCTGAATTATCGCAACAAAACTCTACCAAAAAAATGTATTTATGGTGCGATCTTCTAGTACAGCGGTCGGCAACTGGCGGACCGCGGTCCAGGTCCGGACCGCAGAAGGTAAAATACTGGACCGCCAAAAATTTTTTTAAAATATAAATTACTCAAATAAATTATTTAAAAAATATTTTTTTACCTTTGAGCGTCACCCTTATAATTTTTTTCTAGTATTTTACAATTGTGTGTCTGATTTGAGTTCATAATGGTTAGAAACCAGATTAAATTTGAGTGCAAATTAAAATATAAATTTTTTTTTCTGGACCTCGTTAAAAATTTTCAGAAGTGTTCGGACCCCACCTAAAATTACTTGTCGGCCCTTGTTCTAGTACATATTTGAAAGAAATAAACCAAAACAATTTGAATTTTAGAAGCTATTTTTCTGAAATCATAGACAAATACATGCTCTATTCGTACAATTTAGAAAATGTCAGTATTTAGCCATATATAATATCCTATTTTGTTGCATGTCTGTTATAGTGATAAGAGTTAAAACAATTAAATAGTTGCTAATATCATTAATTTCAATTTATTGATATTTTTTGTCACAAAAGTAAGTTTATTTCCACCAATGCGTACAAAAATTTAATGAAAAAATGTATATTTTTTCTCTCTTTACAAGTAAATCAAAAAGTTTAAAGAAAGTTATTGCTAATCAAAATATAATACAAACCAATAATTATAATTTATAATTTATTTTTCTTATATAATAATGAATTACAATAATAATTACTTCTCCAGTACTTAAGTCATTTAAAATTGAAATTATTATTAATAATTTTATTGTCAAAAATATATATAACTTGTAAAAACTAAAAATAGAAGTTAGCCAAAAATGTTGGTCAATCAATACTTTCCGATATAAAAGCTTAAAATAGAAATACAGTTAAAGGCATCTTATAGTTATTCCTTCGCTAACTGTATGTCACAGCCTCCCTTTCATACATCATTCACGCCCAAAAAAACAAACAGTTCAGATCACAGTGTTTACTATCAGATGCAAAGGCACTGGCCGTCAATTGGTCTCATAACTGGTGAGCAAGGCGGCATCAACAGGCTCCAAACAGCTAGGACAAGTAAGACTTCTCATTAGCCAGTCGTCAATGCAAATCATATGATAAGTATGCATGCAGGGCAGATAACGCAGAGCATCACCTACTAAAAATTCACCCATGCAAATTACACATTCTCTAGCCTTCTTGCATCCATCATATGTTCCTGTTGGTAGGTGTTGTATTAAGCCAATCCGTTTAGCTATTTTTACCTGCTCCTCTTCTGTAAGTTGTGTAACGGAACGTGTGACACTAGGTGATGGATGATAAACGGGAGAAGCAGCTTGCACGGGAAGAGTTTCCTATTTTGATAGTAAGATAATTGTTATTTACAATGCTAGTAAACAGCTGATTTATATGCTCACCTGATAAGCTGGGGGCCCTAACTGATCAGATGATGATTCCCTTACACTGTCACTGCCCCTTAACAATGAAATATCATCTGTAGTTGACCTTTTCAAGCAATTACCCATTTTTGCGCTTGTCATGCATTTAAATCGTAATTGTTATAACCACTAGTATCATATCTATTCAAACTTCTATGAGACCACTGCTTACACATGTGTAAAGTATTGTATTTCTAATTATTGCAAGATTTATCGTTGTGAATCAACATCAAAATAGAAAATCATAAAATGGTAAAAATGTTGACACATAAATGTTAACAATGGAGTTCACAAATAATTACCATTCTTTCTTTTTTCTAATTTTGGACACTGTCAATTGTCAATTCTGAATTTAATGATATCAGAGACATCTACTGGCCAATGGATCAATTTGCTAAAAATCTGATTATTTTCCCTGGAAAATTTAAATAGACCAATGAAATTAAGATAAAAAATCTATAGGTTTATAAATTCATTATACATTTGTAATTTCCGTCTTTTCAGAAATATATCATTAAGAGAAAGATTCACCACTGAACTTCCGAAGAATATTAATTTCCATGTAATTTCCTACGCCTTGACAGAAACAAAATTACTTATTAATAATTTCAACTTAGTATCTTTTAGAACATTTAACACAGTATATATTATATTTAATTCAAATATTATTTGCTTAGAAGGAAAACCTATTGATCAGTACAACTCGATTGTGCTTTGTTCGTAGATATAAGTTAGAGCAGTGTAGAGTAAATAGTAAATCAAATTTGCCCATTCCCAAAGCCAATTTTTCTTCAGAACAATATACAAATGCATTTTTGTATTTTTTATTACACTTTGTTTAAACAATTTGTTGTACTCGTGTTACACTGGAAGATAAATTGCATTATGAATTTGGCCAAAGCACATTTACATAAGTTATAAATAAATTTAATTACAAGTAATATTGAAGTTTTTGGTAAAACAATTCTTAAAATTTAATAAAAAACGATAAATAGTCATTAAGTTATAACTGTAGAGAAAAAGAAACTTATAATATAAATAAATTAAAGGTGGCAGTATGGTAGGCATTTGCCGTGGAAAGTATTAAAACGTGGAACACAACATAAACACGTGGCGTGCGTCATTCGTGGCAGAAATACTGGGGACTAATCATCTTGTTCTTTCCTACGTGTTTCGTATACAACGCGTTGTATCTTAAAGCAGTCAGGTTAACAGTTAATGTCGTGTTAGTGTAAAGTCAAAAGTGATTATTTATAACTAATAATATGTCGAAGACACAAAATAAAGGTTTCACAAAAGAAGAAGAACTTCTGTTACAAGATTTCAGCAGAAATGTATCCACGAAATCATCGGCACTATTCTATGGCAATGCTCTAATAGTATCTGCTGTACCAATATGGTTATTTTGGAGAATCCATATGATAGATGTATACTCTTCATTAATTTTATTTGCTGTTGTAACTGCTGTATCCACTTATCTACTCGCTATGGCCTACAGAAATACCAAATTTACTTTAAAACATAAAATTGCCGTTAAGAGAGAAGAAGCCGTCACAAGAGACTTGACAAAGAAGCTTGCAGATGACAAGAAGATGAGCAAAAAAGAGAAAGATGAAAGAATTCTATGGAAAAAGAATGAAGTCGCAGATTTTGAAGCAACAACTTTCTCCATTTTCTACAATAATGCTTTATTTTTGGCAATCGTAATACTTGCGAGCTTTTATTTGCTGCGATCATTCACTCCTGCTGTCAACTACACTTTGTCCATTGGTACAACTGCTGGACTTTTAGCCTTATTATCTACAGGTTCACAATAATTTATATTGTTAAATTCCATTTCATCTTTTTAGTAATTTTTTTTTATTTATATTGTTCAAATGAAAATTAATTTACATTGTACAAATAAATCGTGTTTTGATAAAGGTTTTTTTTTTAACCAGAATGCCCCTAATAAATTATGAAACATTCAAAACTAAAATAGTTAACTTGTGCTGAATTAAATGTTCTACACATTACGATGTACCTATGAAGTTTAAAAGAAAATGGCAAATACCTTTATGTATATGTAGTATATACTGTTACTTAATAAATATAAAAAATAAAAGGGTGAAATTGGAAATATGAACACAAATAAAAAACATCTTATTGCAATATTTATTGCTGTAACAATATTAAATAATTTCAAACAACTTAACTAATTCATTAAATGTAATGATCTATACATAAATAAAACAACATTTAAACAAAATTAGGATTGAGTTAAGTTTAGGTACTTTTCAAAGATATTTTACTCCATCTCATCATCATGGTCCAATCGGTAAGGTCCAGGACAATTTTCTTTTAAATCCTCGATATCTATACCCGTAATAACACAATAAAGACAATATAAATGTTTACTCCTAAGGTAATCTATTATTGCAAAGAGATTTTCTTCCGTAATATACATTTCAAATTCCTCATCTTCATCGCTGCTGTCAGTATCATCTGCAGTTTCACTCCTCTCCATTTTTCTCCTCTTCTTTATAGTATCTTTCGTCCAAAAGAAATCCTCTACAGGATCTCTTATTTTCTAAAATATCAAACAGAACTACTTCGTAAAATTTTTAACATATAAAACTAGTCAGTAAAAAAATGTTGACCTTGAAATTAATAATATACAAATATAATTACAAGAGGAAAGCTGTGAAGGGTGTTGTATTGCTGTTTTAAATACATCAGTTATATACAATGCTCAAAATGTACTGACAATATAATTGGTTTATTAGAGTATATTTGTAGTTAAAAATGATTTTGTGTCCTATACTTACACTTCTGTAATCTAATTCTTCACACACTTTTTGAGCCTTAAAAAAGTCCCTCCTTATTTGAAGTAAATTCTTCCTTTCTTTATTAGCTAATCTGTACTGTGTTTCATAATGCTTCAAATTTTTTATTTTTTGTTGCTGTTTTTGAGAGATTACTTCCCTTAAGTGAGACTCTCTGCCAATGCCAGAAGTACCTTGTTTATAAACAATATCAATGGGTTCCTTTATACCAGTTTTATTTTTACCAAGACTTTCACCGGGTTTAAAACCCATCTTTTCAAGCAATTTAAATCCTTTATTTTCAGATGATATTAATGTATTTAAACCCTTGTCTCGATTTTCTCTTTCAAGTTCACCTATTGTCTTCTGACGTTTATTCGTGGTTTCTTGTTTTTTCTTAAACATATCCAATTTGCGTTTCTCCCTGTTAAATAATAAACTTGGACGCACATCTTCCTGACTAAAAGGTAAATAAAAAATATTTCTTCCTGTTTTTTTTTTTAATCCTTACCAATCAACCAGGACCTTATAAGACATATAATCATCTTCCGAATCAGACATAACGATATATTTTTGTAAATTACACGTAAAACCACATATATTTTCAATATTCTCTTGTTTATAGATAATGAAAGGAACTGTCAAAAGCACACCAAACAAAACTCTCCTATAAAAATAAAAATTCTACCAACTGTGTGCGACATGTACGTGAATGACCAAAAGTGAGATAGTTCACTACTTGATTTCCTTTAGAAAATATTATGTTTATATAATAATCAAAACATTTAACATATACACATTTATTCATATGCAACCTTGTTAATATGAATAATATGTATTGAAATAATTTATACAAACAACAAATTTAAGTAAAACGTACAGTATACTTATTTAAACAACTTCAAAAATAGTTAGTGCAATTTGTTACTCCAAGAGTTGAACGAACGACCCTGATTTATTGAAATTCGTAAAAGAACGCACCTATTTCCTACTATTTTGACGTTGACAACAATATAACCTATAAAAGTAATTGTTTTAATATATTTGTTTAAATGTAAAAGCTATTTTCTTTAAATTATGGCCTGGCTTCAGAATTTAGCAGGCCGTGCTGAGGATTTGTTAAATAAAATTGATAAAAATGCTGCTACTGTGTTAAACGAGTCGAATTCTAAATTAACCGATGTTGAGTATGTATTTCAGTTTCATTATTTCAACAACAATTAATAAAATATCTTTTAGAAGCCAACAACAAAGCACAAATAGAGATATTGTACAGGAAAGTGATTTTGAAGCAAACCTCGGAAATAATTCGTACAGCACCTCTTTAACTAGAAGTTCCAGTTTCCAGAATTCCCCTATCAAGGACACCAATGTAGTACAGGCAATAGCAAGTGTGGATCAAAATGATATCGGTATAACATTTGACGTCACTTCGGAAAAACTCAAATCTTCATCTGGTAAAAGACTCTTATTTAGTATTTTTCTTTCTTAATCAAATTCATCTTTCAGGAAGTATTAATGACGAAAGTGTAATGGATAAATCGTTTAAAAGTTCGGTGAAAAGTGACCAGTTATCCAGTGCGAGTTCCTTAAATAATAGGTAAACTCTTACTACATATTTGTAAACTAAATTCTTATGAGAAATATAGTTTTATTTTAGCAGAAGAATCAAAAGTATTACATGAAAAAATTGCTAAATTAGAATTTGAAAATCAAGATCTTAATAAACAGCTTCTTAATATACAGCATTTGTATTCTGAACTCAAAAATGAGAATTCTAATCTACAGTTTCAAATAGAAAGATGTAATGAACAGGTTGCTCAAGCTCAAATAGAAAAGGATCAGTATATAGCAAGAGCGCAACGTATTTTACAAGAAAAAGAAAAACTGATTTCTTTGAAGCAAGAAAATGTATCTAATGAAGAAACAAATATTTTTGAAACTTATAATGAAGAGCTAAAGTAAGTACTAAAATGATATCGACTTCTATTAGTTTTACGTAATTTTTTTGTATATTACTTAATAAAACAACGGTTATTGTAGAAAAGAACTGGAATTTCATCAAGCAAAAAGTGATGAGTTAACTCAAAAAAATAATCAGTTACTTAAAGATATGCAGTCGCTGCAGATGCAACATCGGATTATTCAGAATGGTTTACATCAGTCACTTCAGAATTTGGAACAAAATGTTTTAAATGAGAAAAAATTTAGGATAACTGCTGAAGAAGAATGCTCACAAAAAACTAAGGTAAAATATTTATTATTCTAATAATTTAGTAATACATATGATCAATATTTAGGAATTATATTTAAAAAATCAAGAACTGTTACAACTGAAAGAGTTAGTAAATGTTAAAGACAGTGAAATAAGTCAATTAAAAGAAGTTGTTAAACAAAAAGCTAATGCAACTGTTAATGAAGATATTGAATCAAGAATAAAGTCATTAACACAAACCCTTATGCTAAAACAAAATAAACTGGAAACTGTTACTACTGAACGAAATGCCTTGAGGTTACAAATCGAAAAACTCGAAGTAAGTATATATTTCTCTGAAGTTTGTCTTTAACTAAATCAGTTTTATTAATTCTAGAGCGAATATAAAAAGAATGTGGCACAATTACATAGAGCGCAAGTAAAAATTGTTAATATTCAAGAACCAGATGGTAAGTCTGTCTTAACAATATTTTTAATTTATATACCATACAATTTTCTTGGTCTTCATACCAGTATTGTTGTGGTAAAAAAGCAAAAAATAAGTTACTGTTTGTATTTTAGAGACAATTTCCCTGCCTCGATTTTTTCGAGTTTCCCCTTTTGATGCTGGAGTTACAAGGAGAGTAAAACATGCATATTCTACTTTAGATGCTATTAGCATTAGAACGGGAATTTTTTTGAGGCGTTACCCGGTTGCTAGGGTATTCGTCTTTTGTTATATGGTAAGATAACGTATATTCAGTATGTAGCAAGAATACATTAATTGTACCTACTTAATTATTTTAGGTGCTGTTGCATATATGGGTGCTAATAATCCTTTTTTTATATGCTCCAACCAATCGTTAAATAAATAACTGCATATAATTTTGTTGTTAAGAAGTGTATGTATATAATTTTATTTTAATACATAAATTTATTTGGAATTTTTGTGTTATATGCTTTTCTCCCTTATTTACAATGCTAAGAAGAAGTAAGGTTTCAGTTACATGTATATCAGTATTATCTAACTTTTATTTAACAAAATCATTATCTCCACATAAGATATATTTATTTAAAAAAATTAGATTTTATTAAAGTTAACTCCTTTAATATAAGAGCAATATTAAATCTTAACTTATGAAACGACTTGGCGTCTACTTCTATAGTACATTTTTCACCATTTTTTAAAACTAAACACAGTATAACACTTGTTGGAACTTTTTTCAGGAGGGCACTAAAAAATAAAATTTAATCGTAAACCAATCCTAGTAGTAAAAGTACAACTGTTAACCTACCTACTTAAGCTAATATCAATTTTCCACTTAAGAGATGATAGTTTACCAAAATCTACGTCAAAATTGTTTGTTAAATTTTTAACAATTTCTTCTCGATGTCCTATGAAAGGTAACTGTTGTACAAAATCAGGTGTGAAGCCTATTTCTAGTAATTTAGCATTAAATTCATTATCACTTGTTTCTAGAAAGCAGCGAATTAAACCTATATATATTCCAAGAACTTCATAAATCCGATCCTTAGGTATATTACTATCGTTTGATAAATTCTCTATGATTTTGGATCGATCCTGTGCTGTGGGTTGATTTGCTACTAAAGCCACTAAAAATAAATTAATGAAGTCTTATCTATACTTAACAATTACAAATATATACTTTTTAATATTTTGCTTTGAAATTCAGTTGGAAATTCACACGCTGTATTTAATACACTTTTTGGAATCTCGTGAAAACTCATTTAGAAATATCTAAATTCATCTAATATTGCTTACAGAGCATAAAAGATATTTATCTCTTCCACAAAATATAAACAAAAAAAAAAGGTATGGTATTGGTTAATTCACAAATGTGTCTATAGTACATAGAAATAGAATGAAATGTCCCTAATATTGTCACTAAACCGCGAAATAGCGCCACGTAACGTTTTGGAAGCTTACTACTACTTAGCTCCTAATGAGTAGGCAACACTTTATACTTTGTGAACTGACTACAGCGCCATCTATCGTATGGAAACGACTTCTCACTTATATCCTCTATATTATATTATTTTAAAAGTAAACAAATAGGAATAGTCAAGTGTCAATACTTTTGAGAACATATTATTTAGTTAAACAGAAAATGTAGCGAAAAACTAATATTCAGTACTTTTCTAATTCACTTCTGCTTTGATAACGAAACTAGAGGTTTCAGAAACGTCATAGTGTTATTGTGATGTGTATTTGTTTTTCCAGTGCGTAACCAGACTTATACATGTAGATGTATGTCTCTGGCATCTCACTATTAGGCAAAAGTTTTCAGTATTGACACTTGACTGTCCCTATCGGTACAAGGGTTTATTTTTCCAGTTTTTTTTTCTTCAAACTATGGCAAAATATCCAAATTATAACATTTATAATGCCACAAATAAATACAGACAATTTCTTATTTATTATTTTATTATATTATAGTATTTTTCAAATTTTGACATTTGCCAAGATATACTTAGTAAATGGTTTCGATAAGGAAATAAAACATTTTTTAATAATTTTAAGTTTATTTTGTATCTACAAGAAATCCTAATTGATTTATACAGAATGTTGTTATGCATGTACTATTAAAACAATTTCTTGTTATGTATTTAATTGTAAGTAAAAACGACAACAATTTAATTCATTTGCTTCATAAACTTGATAAGTTGGCAAGTAAGCTGTAAAAATATAAAAATTATGCATGAACTGTTATAATAATCTCACTTTCCGGAGAGTATACCTAACCGAATATTTGTACAATATTGGGTTAAATTCAATAGTTCATATAGTTTGGAACTTTCAAACCATAGA